AAATTAAAAAACAATAAATTTAGTTGTCATTATTACCATCTTCCGTATCATCTTTCGATTACTAACTCGTTGAAAGAATGACTAACTTTCGGGTTGTGGGAGGACCGAGTAAGAGGGACGAGAGGTGGTTGGAGGTTCTCTAACAACCCCATTAACTCTCCGTAATTATACCGCATGCTCGCTAACTTGATTGACCTATTGCTAAATGGTAGCTTCCATCCCATTAATCCGATCTTCGTACCGAGCAAAAACTTTTGCATATTACCATCGGGATACCGCAAAGTGGCGAGAGGAGGAGCTAGTGTTAGAATACGAGTAACACCGAGAGGCATAAGTTTCAATGTCGTGCATTCTTTACTTCTTCTCTCCTCCGACAACATTCAAATATATCTTGTGTCGATATCTTGAGATGATGCATCACCCCCATATCGCTTTTTAGCACTGCTTTTTGCATTGATCGCATGTGCTCCTAAGTGATTGAAATAATAACAATATATATATAAGGTTGAAAAATAACGACGAACGCGATCTCGTCGCTAATACATGTCAAAATGAGCGTACAATTTTGCACAGCTTGATCGCTCATTTTTCCACATTTAGCAATAGATGTAAGTGTTCGTTGTTGATCCATCACAAATTGAACGGTTTTTATCTTTCAAAAGTCCGCCCAATTTTGCCCAAAATCTCCTCTTCGACAATGGATTTTTCTCGTTGATAAATTACAAGGAATGTGCCATTTAGTAACGGATATTCCATTGCTAAATCCCGACATTGAAAATAACGATGGACTTACTATTTTGTCGCTACTTTTTCTAACAAATTTGTCGTTAAACCGTCTCTAAAACTCCTAGAAAGAAATATTTTATCGCTAAATTTAGCGATAGATTTGTGTCCGTCACTAAAATACAATTGTTATTTCATCTTTAGTCCGTCGTTAAATTTTACAGTCTTCATTCTATCCTTATTTATTTTTTATTTAGCGACGGACTCTGTCGTTATTTAGTGAATTTTTGGCGGTGACAATACAAGCCATTCTATTAAAAAAAAAATCATATAAGTACGTAGAATACATTGGCCAGAATTAAGATTCATTTAAATCAAAATGCCTTTTTTTTTCAATCATAGTTGTGAAACTTGGATCGGCTCAGTGAATTCATTTAGAAATCTAGTGATCCGAGATATAATCTAGATTGGAGTTGATGTTGGAATGTATATTCTGGATTTGCTTTTAATATACATCAAATGGGTCAATCCATTAACTAGATGGGTCAATCCAGAATCAGAAAACCCAAGATCTTGTCTGAGACAGGCCTCGGGTCGAGTCAAATAACTATGGTTTTGATGGGCCTCTTTTTATTATGGGAAAATGCTATCCAATTTTTGGCATGTGTTTATTTGAAATATTACTGGTTTACTTTTATTCAAGAGAGATGATGGGATCAAAATGTGGTTGGACGGGGAAAAAAATAAAATCCAAATAACACTGGTGTAGTACTCTAGGTGTGGTGTAGTTTTTATGAAACCTAGATGGTTCTTTTGTTTCATTTTGGAATTATGGAGTAACTTGAAGCCGAATCAGGGCCGGGCTGTCCTAAAAGCCTTTGAAGGAAGTGATGACTCATGTTCATATCTCTGAAGGAAAAAAAAAGGGAGGGATATAGTTTTTTCGATGCCTTGGCCAAATTTGGATTTTGCAATCAACTTGATCTTGTTACATGGCTTTAAATTTGCTCCTCATCTTGCTTAACCATTTTTGGAATGCTTTTTGTTCTGGCTGCACCTTTTCTGTTACGGTGGGTCAGATGTTATGAGACTTGGTCGTCTGTATTTACAAAAGAAGCCCTTCTAGGCCTCCCATTCTAGCCTGGTTTTAGCTTCGAAAGTCCATATCAGGCCTTTAGGCTCCTTTGGTGCTTTTTCTTTTTTTAAAAAAAAATTATTGTTGTTATTGTCTCTCAGCCTTTCGGCCTTTACATTCTATGTAATTGGCTTATTGCCATTTCTCTTTTTATTCAATAAATCTTCTTGTTTTTATTAAAAAAAGGTGACATGTGTCATTTCTTGTAACAATGTGTTGGCGACTGAACTTATTATTAATAGCAATGTAATCAAATCATTATTATTAAATTTATATGTCGATCGGAGACGAGTCTTGAATTCCTATGTAAATCTTAAATAGCTCGTTATTAAGCCTTCATTATTTTTTGTCAAAAAAAAAAAATTGTATTAGGGAAGATAAAAGAAAAAAGGACAAAAAATGATAGCTAAATACGATGACTCATTTACCCTCCATATAATTGACGTAATTATATTGTTTAATAAAGGCCTCCATTAATTATTCTAAAAAAATCATGGATATAGTATTTTTGGGTTCCTATATATAATTTGTATTATATGGTTTAATTAAATAATCCTTAATCTGATTAGTACACATAAATTTACTCAAATTAATTCTTAATCTCATTTTTACATAATCCCCTTGAAATTTATATCGTATATATTGCTATTCAAAAACTTACTCAAATTTTAATTTGTATACACAATTTTACAGAAATCCTTAATACGAGAAATTCTTACGAAGTCAACTGCCGTATATATCAGAGGAACTACCAAGCAATTTCTTCAGGAATATTTCACCGTCACCCCTTACGTTTCATTCAACTTTCAAGCACCTATTGATTTACATATATTTTCCACACATGACTTTAAACAACTCGAACAAGATATGACACGTAATGCTAAAAACAAAACTCAACCTTACGATATAACTTTGTGATTTTTATTTATTTATTTATTTATTATTTGGTGGATTGTGGAGAGTGAATATTGTCAACCATGAAATCATAATTACGATTCCATAAATCATTCGATCAAAACTTTATGAAAACATATAGTATGATGAAAAAAGTGTAGAATTCATTAACATTATTGTAGAACACCATGCAGTAAAAACCTTCAATTGTTAGGTTTTTATATATAGATCCATTACGTCCTTACATCATTTAATAACATGATTCCTAATCTAATTAGTTATTATAAAAATTAATTAAGTTAAATTTTAATTCGATCAAGTAGTATATGGAAAGTCAAAGTCAAAATTATATAGATAATTCCTAATGTAAATATTATATAAAAACTTAATCAAGTTTTAATTTATAAATAGGATTCAAATTTAAATTCACATACATATATAGTATATATGCCACATATTATAATTAAATAATATGCGATGATATATCGAGTTAGAGGCCGTGTCTACATTAATGATAGGTGACTCATTATTATGTCTATATTTCCACCTACATCAAACTCAACTCGTTCAAAATAAAAGGATTTGGCCTAACTAGTTTTTGATATTTGTAGCATAGTTGTCACTTTCGTTCTATTTTGTCCAAAATGGTTGATAAATCTCATATCATCTAAAAAAACAAAAACAAAAAAAACAAAACAAAACACAACCAATTCTATCCGATGACTCAAAATCTAGATCTGTTTAGATATCTCATCTAAATATTTACTAAGTTGTTTCTAGTATGTTTCACCCAAAACTTAGACAAAATTAAAATTTTGTTGGTTTTCATGTAATTAAATTGTTTTTTTTTTCTATAAAACATCATTCATTTGTAATCAAATTATCTAATCTTCTCTACTATACACAAACTTAAAAATGCATTTACAAAGTATAATTTACAACTTAAAAAAAAAAAAAAAACAATCAACTTTGGTCAAGACAATAATTTATGATTTTTAAAAACAAAGTGAAATTACAAGTATTTTTAAGTATATATATATATGGTCTCAAAACGAAATGCCAAAGTACATGAATATCGAAATATCCCCAAAAAGAACAAAAATGAAACGGTATCCAGAACCCAATAGACACCCTTGATTTGTAGTTGAAAAGTATGTGTTTAGTTACTTCTATTTATTTGCGTTATTTGGGCTTTGAGCCTTATATGCCATTGTTTTGGGACCAGAAAAATATTAAGTAGATGTACATAAAATACTGCACTGTTGATGCAACCTTACCGTTTTTATTGTCAAACTTTTACTTAAATTCTTCTTCTTCTCTTTTTAATCTGAAGTTTTACTTAAATTCGTTTTTTCTTTTCTTTATAAGAGAAGCTTTTCTTGGCAAGCTTCATCAGAGAAGCTTGGACATGAGACTTTGTCTCTGTTTTTCCTTATATGAATATACGAGATTTGTTACCATATCATTGGCTTTTGGTTTAACTTCAAAGTTTTAGTAGTTTACGATAAATAAAAAAATTAACGTTAGAGTTTTTAATGTTATAATCTATGTTCGTGATATTCTTTTTGACCGAATAAATTCAAAAATGGACCACCTTGACTCGTTAAAACTTAAAACTAAAGAACAAGACCAGTCCACCTGCAAAGCCCACACTTAGAAGCCCCCTTTAAAAAATTAAATAATTTCTCCAGTGAGAGAGCGAGCGCGAGAGAGAGCCGCTGTGTCGTACTCCTTCCTACTACTAGTTGGTATGATTCAAAAAAGATGAGCTTAACCGACACGTGTCAGCCCTTTATGATTTTGACTCGGCGGAGCCACCGGAGAAAAGAAATTTCTCATTGCTTACAAAATAATTTATTTCTTTGACAACCTTTAAGCAAATGCAGGAAAAAGAAAGAAAATCTCCCATTTCATTTGCATTTGACCTTCATTTCATTTCCATTTCAGATCTCCCACCTTATTTTTCTTCTTGCCCCCTCCCCTTTTTATTTTCCAATAACAATAAAAATAATTATTAGTACAAAACGACACATAATTTTTTATTTATTTCAGAAAAGTAAAAAAAAAATCTCGTTCCTCACGGATCACTGAGGAGAGAAAACAAATACGGAGAGAGAGGAATGATAGATAGATCTCAAAAACGAAACGTTTGGCTCCTCTCTAATTTAGAAACCCTGTCAAAATCCAAACTTTAAAGAAATTGTTATCATTATAAAAAAAAATAATAATTGAGATTGAGAGAGAGAGGATGCCGTCGTCGCACGGGGATCTGGACCGTCAGATCGAGCAGCTGATGGAGTGCAAGCCTTTAGGGGAAGGAGAGGTGAAGACGCTGTGCGATCAGGCGAGGGCGATTCTGGTGGAGGAGTGGAACGTGCAGCCTGTGAAATGTCCGGTCACCGTTTGTGGCGATATTCATGGCCAGTTCTACGATCTCATCGAACTCTTTAGGATAGGAGGGAATGCACCTGATACCAATTATCTCTTCATGGGAGATTACGTAGGTCAGTCTCTCATTTCTTTTTATTTTTTATTGCTGATTTTTTTCTTTCTTTTATGTGATTAAAATTGATTTAGGGCTATTTTAAATTGATACCGATTATCACTTTCTTTCTTTGTTGGATCTCTTTTTTTTTTTTTTTTTGGTTGTTGCTGATAACAAAATTGACTTCATTTCTAATTGAGCTGCAAATGTTTACTGCTAGGAGTTGAATTCCATTTGCATTCGGGTTGACTAAGTTTTATGTTTGGTCAAAATGTGGGCGGGGCTGAATTTCCACTGATGGAGGTCGGGATGTGCTTAGTTTGTGATAGAAATACTGATCATTGCACTTTACTTATGTGGTTAGGTTATATTTTTATGAAGTGTTGAAGTCTGGAATGTTGAATGGGGATAGTTTCCAGCATTCTTTTGAAGTTTTTTATTTACAACAGACAAGCATTTCTAATGTCGTCGATTATATCAATGCAGATCGTGGGTACTATTCGGTGGAGACTGTCACGCTCTTAGTGGCCTTGAAAGTCCGTTACAGAGATAGAATTACAATTCTAAGAGGAAACCACGAGAGCAGGCAGATTACTCAAGTGTAAGATTTTTTTTTACCCCCTCAATGAAAGCTTGCTTAGGATTGAATAATATAATTCTGATACTGCTCAAAGAACATGATGTATGTTTCTTCAGGAAGAGCAGGTTTCTTTAATCTGTCTTTCTTTGTTAAATTTGTTGTTTGTCTTCTAGTTTTTGTTATGATGACAGATTAAACATTAAATATTTGTGTGCAAATATTTTGTGATATTGGTTGCTTTGATCTAAGTTGTAATACTCTATATGGAGACCACTTCATTCTTTTTTCTTTCATTTTTCCAAAATAGTGACGATAAAATATGCAATATGTGGATCGAAAAATTCCATATTATCTGGCCTTGTGAGTTAAGTTAACTCCAGGCTGCTTCTCATTAGTGGAGTTTGTGGGTTCCATTCCTGTGAGTCTTTTGACTGGAGCATGGCGATCTGTACCCATGCAGTTATAAGTTGGTTTCATCTGAAACCTTTTTCTGTAAAGAAAAGAATTCTTGTTCCTTGATTTAAAAGGAAATGCTATGAAGGCACATATAATTGGAATCTCTTTACACAACACAATTTTCTCTTCTCAAGTCAAAGGGAGACTGCATGGATCTAGGGTGATGACTGATTTGTTTTTCAGATACGAAATGCTGTTTCAATGGTATGTTATGTCATTTGATGATATTGTGGGAATTGCTACTCCTCGAGCAACTAAGTGATATGAAGCCTTTGCATACTCTTCCCTGCCATACTCAGCTAACTTTAAGTTTCACTTGTACTTGCTTTCAAAATATATGCTGTTAATATCTCCAATAGTTTGAGATCTATTATTTGCACTAAAGGCATTAAATTCACCTGTTTTTTCCCTTCCAAAAGAACATCCTCAGCTAGCTTGTAGCCTCATAGACTAAAATCTGTTCTAAAAATGTTCTATTACCTCGAGCCCTCCTCTCTCACATGCAGGCATGCTTGCACATGCATGTGCCAACACATGCTAGCAATCATGCTGTTAACTCACTTGGATTACTGATGTGTTTATCTCAATTCATTTTCAGGTATGGTTTTTATGATGAATGCTTGAGAAAATATGGAAATGCTAATGTCTGGAAGTATTTTACTGACCTTTTTGATTACCTACCCCTTACAGCCCTCATCGAGAGCCAGGTTTGAGTCATAAGTGTTACAGGATTTTTGCTTGATATAATTGTCAGCTTCTTTCTTACTGCTTCAATTTTTTATTATAGATCTTCTGTTTGCATGGGGGACTTTCACCATCTCTTGACACATTAGATAACATCCGAGCTTTAGACCGTATACAAGAGGTATGAGTAACTGCTTCTCGTATTTCAAATTCTCACATTATCAAGGCCATATTATAAAGTTTAAGATTTTGATGGTGATGGTGTGCTAATCAGCGAATAACTGAAGGTGATGCAAGCTAGCATGTTGACCTTTTTCCTGTTATATGAACTTTCATGCAAGTTTTTTTCAGATTCATGGGATGTAACTATCATAAAAAGTACTACATCTAAAACTTGGTTATGGCAATGATGTGTGTTGTTTTTTAGCATTTTCTTTTCTGATCAAGGATTAAAATAATAATACCTGGCATCCTCTTCTTCCCTAATGCAATGTAATTCCTTCACGTTATACATTTCTTTGTGCTATGGCTATACAGTTACACACTATTCAGTGCATTGCGAACAGCCTTTTGATTTTGCTAGCTCCTTGTAATCGTCTGTTGATTTTGGTAATAATCACCTCTCTATAATTATCTGCCCGAGTAGGTTCCACATGAAGGACCAATGTGCGATCTCTTGTGGTCTGATCCAGACGATCGTTGTGGGTGGGGAATATCTCCTCGTGGTGCTGGATATACATTTGGACAGGATATAGCTGGTCAGTTCAACCATACCAATGGACTCACTTTAATTTCACGGGCTCACCAGCTTGTCATGGAGGGGTACAATTGGTGTCAGGTAACTGAATCCAGACTAGACACAATTTTGTTTCTTCTTTCCATGTTTTTTTTTTTTTTTACATGAAACATGCTAGTTATTAAAATTCATTTTTACTTCAGGAAAAGAATGTGGTTACTGTATTTAGTGCTCCAAACTATTGCTACCGCTGTGGGAATATGGCCGCAATTCTAGAGATTGGAGAGAATATGGACCAGAACTTCCTTCAATTTGATCCGGCACCCCGGCAAATTGAGCCTGACACCACTCGCAAGACCCCTGATTACTTTCTGTAATTTCCATATTCCTGCCAGCTGTTTGTAATCCTTGTTTGCTGCTGTATCACTGTAGATGTGTCTTAAAAAGAGGAGTTTTTGTTGTTTAAGGTGAGGTTGATCGACAACATCATTCTTTATTTGGAGTTTGTGCTGCTGCTGCTGCTGCTTTGTTGATATCAAGTCATTGAAAAACTGACAGAAGGCACCAATGGCCATATGTCTTGTATATTCTCAGAAGAAGGAAGCAGCAATAACATGGTATATCTTGTGCTGTAATTTTACATGTTTAAGTTAGAGAGCAGGTTTTGTTTTTTGCGAGCAAATGTATGCTGCTTACTTTTTTCTGATTTATAAACAAAACCACAGGCAAAAGTGTTGCATACGTGTAGAATATGCTGCGTAACTTTTGTTCAAAAAAGAAACAGGGAATGCTGCTGCATATCACCACAAAGAGCTTGTAGTCTATTGGTAGTGATGAGGTCACGTGTTCAAATCTTAGTAGGTTAGTTTTCCTATGAGCTCTAGATGTGTTAAAAAAAAAAAAAAAATTCTGCTGCATAACCCATAACAATTACTTTGAAAAGGGTTGAAAGAGAGCCGGTAACCATGTTGCTATTTCCCCACAAAATTGACTCGGCTCGATTTGGTACTTGCCTACATTCATCAGTGGGTAATTACTTTCCTGGTTCACTGTGGATGTTTTTAGGCCATCTCACCTCAAATCAGTATGAGATTGGTACGGATGGTTATTTTAGTAGACAAGGCCCTTGTTTTGGGGAATCCTTGGCCTTCTTGAGATAGAAGCAGCAGCTCATTTGTGGTCTGGGGGAGCTCTTGTTTTAGTTTTCCTTGATTGACAGAACATAAAAAGGCGTGGCTGTTTTAATTCCTTTTCCTCGACAAATTTGACGCATTCTGAAACACTTTTATAGCGTTGTATCTAATGTCATAAAAATAGATCGAAATATATATAAAGGATGGGGCGATTTCAACACATCCTGCAATAATGTTAGATCTAATATCATAACAATAGATCGAAATTGAGACCGACAGTCAGTCCCGATAACATTCGGTTTGGGTTTCAATCATTCAAAAGTCATCCAAAGACATTGTAGAAGGCTCATTTTCCAAAAGCCTCAGTGGGTAGAAACATGGGTTTTTCGTCTTCATGAGTGCACCGCATTTCAAGTGGGAGAAATGTCACACAACTTCGATGGATCAAATATTCTTCCAAGCTAATCCTTTGGTCCCTTCATCAATAGGGATAATACAGTCACAAGCTTTCCCGGTGTCGAACTGTAATTCAGTCCTGGCTTTATTTTTGTCTTTTTGTTGAGGCACTTCTCATGTTGATTATAACTGAAGCAAACCAACCAGATGTAAGTTGTGGGTGTGTGTCTAGTCCAAGAGACGGTAGTACAGATGCACACAAGCATGAATCGTTAATGCTATCATAAACTTGTAATATAGAAGGAAACTCTGCCATTCTTGCCAACTAAAGAGCATCTATAGTTTTTTTTCAAATATTCAAAGGCTTTGTAAAGATTACAAATCGGAAAAAATGTTACACTATGAAAACTATGACGAATACATTTTAGAGTAAAAAACGAGAAAACAAAGAAAAAATTAGCAAATGATACAATTGACACGTTTCTACACAAAAACCAATAGCTTCAAACCCTCAGATATCGTTAAATGCTGCTTTCATGTGGAGGAGAAAACTTCAAAACCAAATAAAATTTCGGAGTCAAAATCTGTTCATCTGGATCCTCCCTCCTCCAGCTCCAGCCCTTGCTGCCATGGAAGTCTGCTTTCTTCGGACGTACACAAACGAACCACTTGCAATTAACAAACACAGAATAATCCCCTGTCCAAAGTGATTCAAATCATAAGAACGAAGGCCATCATTAAAGTATCTAACTACATTCCAAGGGTGCTTGCAATTCTTCTTGCCAATTTCACACCTCATTAAATACAAAAAGGAAGACGACTAGACAAAGAAGCTACTGGTCATAACAATCCATTCAACTATCAACCTCCTTGAATCTATTCAGAAAGTTGATTCTCTCTCTCACACTTTGTGCTTTTCATTCACTGCTATTTCAGATAAAAGGACATGGTATACGGTTCGAGCAGATATCTATGTTTTCTTTCTGAACTGTCTTCTTTAAAAAATCTTTAAACTTGCTAACATATAAAACTTAGAAGACATTTCTTTTGAACTCTATTCTTTAGAGTAGGAATTTAAGTCCTGAGCTAGTACTTCGTGCTTGTGATCTCAACGAGAAGCATTGCTGATACAGAACCTAATACCAAAATCCCAAGGCTCCCATTTTGAGGTTCAACATTCCCCCGACAAAATCTGACTGCAATGCTAACAAGGGATGTGAATACACACCCAAATATTGAAATACTTGAGAACATGCACTGATGTACTTCAGAAAGGAAAAATATTAAGTATTAATGATACTTTCTTAAATGAATTCCTAAGCACCTAGAAGAATTAATTTTCACTCAGCAACGTTAGGACTACTCTCTAGACGGTTACTGGTCAAAACCTTCGGATCTAAATCTACATTGACAAGCGTATCAACAAGTCGAGCCAATTACATACAGATTTGGCATTTAATCATTCTTGTTCTTATTAGTCATAAAATTAAGGGTGAGCCGCTGTAGTCTGATGATAAATGCATGTTCAACCCAGTTTACACAAGTGAAATACACAGGACATAAGGAGTATGACGAAACAGAGGCAAGAAGTTAGCAACTAAGTAGCACATCTCTTGGATTTTCAATTTACATCATTCTTGCAATTAAAGGATTGAGACTAAACAGCAGTCAAAGGACCACAGTGATGAAGCGAAGGAAAAAGAGACATATAAATCATCTTAATTTGACTTTTTATTTGTATATGTTTTCCTTTCCCTTTTAAATCTAGTCTGCTTAGAAAATTTAGGAATCTGAACATTATTTAGGAGTTATCTTTATTTTCCAACTACAATACTAATTAGAAGAATACTATTATTTATTTGTTGCTGTTGTTGTTGGTATCAATGCTGGAACCTTGGCTGAGTGATGGAAAATATAAAACCAAACCACCAGGCCTAGGAGCTTTTCTTGAATTCCAATTTCCTGTTAAAGTTTTAAACTATCAATGCTTTTGGTGCTTATAATAGGAGCTCCCATATTGTGTAATCAAAGAACTTTGATAATGGACTACAAGTACTTTGGTCTGGTATCAGAGCTGCAGGCCAGCCTTGAGTTTTCTTTCTCTTCTCTTCTCTTCTCTCCAAGCTTTATTTTCTTCTTCTTCCTTTCCTTTTATTACTTCTTTCTTTAAAAAAAAATTTTAAAAAAATATTTCATTACCTCCTTGCAACTGTAACATTGGATTACTATTGATAGCAATATTAACATCCCAAATTCGAATATATCATACCACAACTAACCACAAATCCTCTACCAGACATATATCTAAAGTTGTCCTACATGAATTTGGTATCAAAGCTGATCCTTCTCTTCGGACACTTGTCCAAATTTATTAGCTACTATCACTTTAATCGCTACATAATGATAACAAATGACAAATTTCAACCATCACATGCCAAAAAAAAAAAAAAAAAAACCCCAATCACATAGAAAACAAAGAGAAGGATAGTTAAAAAGACATGAACATACCTCAAAACCAAGTACCGACAACCTCTCTACATTAGGTGATATACAGCTTCTGTAAGTAATATAAGTCTGTGATCCACTATTGGCTGTAGACGTATCATCCAGTAAGGTTCTACCCTTGTTTGAGGCAGTATCTTGCAACATTACATGAGGATTTGCGTTGTCAGAGACTTCAACAGCAGATCGACCATTTTGTGAATGCTGCTTCCCCTTTTCATTCTTTGTATCAAGATTAATTTCAACACATTTGAAAGGGATGCGATAGCCAGTCTCGCTGCATCGATATTTTTCATCACTCTACGAAGACAAGAAAAACAAAACACCACCAAAACTAAGCACATTGAAAGAACGTCTCCTCAAATCTTAACAGCATTATAATTACTATTTTGCATTTTTTATAAACAAATTGAAGCAATAATTGGTAAACAAATTAAGAAACTAAATTACACAATTATTATACCAAAATAAGTCATAAAATTCAAGGAATTGTTATTATAAAAAAGAATAAAAAGAAAAAGAACGGAAGAGAGATTTTTATACCTTCTCGGAGTAGGTGCAGGGAACACAAGGACCAGAAGGAGAGCAATCGAAAGTGAGGTTACTGCCGTGAGGTGTTTCTTTCAAACTAAGTAATACCCTACGCCCTACGCCTCCATTTCTGCTCCAAAATTTAAATTATTTAATATTAGTTTTATGAAATACATAAACTGATTGACTCTAAAAGAAAGAAAGAGAGACGGAGAGATTTGTGCTCACGCAGTCGTGTGATCCAACTCCAAGGCGTTAATGGAGGAAAGCAGCGCCAATACTGCAAGGATCGTCGCTGAATTCCAACATGTCATCCTTTTCTCCTTTCCACTGGTTTTTGAATTTCTACTGATAACTCCTCTTTATGTAGAAGTATTACAGCATCTTTTCCCTTCTTTTTCCTCCACCGAACTCGCTTTGCTGATCAAAAACAATTCTGGCTTTGTTTAATATTGGGCTTTTGGGCCATGGACAATACTATTTTTTCTCTCTTCTTTTAATTGGTAGATCAATTAATAATTTTCTCACGTTATCTACTATAGATTTTTTTAATGACTCGTGATTGTAATTATGTTTTTCTTGTTACTTGATATATATATATATATATAAACCTTCTGCAAAATGATAGTTTCCTAATATTTTTTTTGATTGATGGTAACGGTAGTTTTATTGTTAATCGATATTAAGTTTATTTCTAAACGATTTTATAACATATCCTTCACATCTATTTGGTGTGATTAAAAAAAATTTTCTAAATGCTGACTCCAAAATTTATGTTAAATGAACAATGGCCGTAGAGTCTGTGTGTCCATATCATGGTTAACAATAACAACGTAAACTAGAACAGAGCGTAAAAACACTCTGTAATTTTACTGCTCATACAACTGTAGCTCCAGGCAGGCCATTAGCACTGTTAAGAGCAATTTTTTATATTGTTACATTTTTGCCCTTTGACTTCTTTCTTTTCTACCCTTTTTTGTAATTTCATTTCTTTTTGACAATTATCTTTCCGTTTTATGTTTTTTTTTTTTTTTTAACTTAATGTTTTTGTACTGTTACATTTTCACCATTTGATGGTTTTCTTCTCCGTCTATCCTTTTCGCTCTTTTTCGTAAATCTCCGTTCCTTTTTTAAACTTGCTGTAGACTTTCATTCACCAAACTCAGTTGGTTATCTTCAGCCATTGGATTTTACCAAATGTTATGCTTTAGTCCCTAGTACATAGTTAATTTTCAATAAAACTAACTATTTCAATTTTTTTACACCAACCATTTGCTATTATTATTTTTTCACTATTAGAAAATCAATTTTTAAATAAAATAGTTAAAATAATATTTTAGAAGAATCATCCAATAATTCATATACAGTTTTTTATACTAATATTATTTATTATTTTATGAATCAAATGTACTTACTTTCAAAAAATAATAATCTCATAGACATTATAAAAGAATAATTTTTTTCATTTGTCAATTTTTATATAAGTTTTACATGCTTTATTTTTCAATAAATCTTATTAAAAAAATATTAAGGCACTTTTTTTAAATTTTGGATTAAATATTATATTTATATTATTGTAAGTTTTTATTTAAGAATTAATACATAAACAAAAATAAATCATGTTTTTTAAAGTAGAAAATTATGAAAAACATAAGATAGAATTAATTAAATACAAAATTTTGATTGAAAAATTATAAAATTGGATGAATTTTTTTTTTAACTTTTGATTTAATATATTTTGGTTGATTCACAACATATCACGGGCTATCAAATTAACAAAAAAAATTCAAATGTTTTCACATGTTTTGTCCGACATGCAGCTTAATAGTCTATCAAATTGGAATAATTTTTTTGAATAATTTCACTTGTTTTGTCCGTTCCGCGAGTGTAACGTAAGTAATAAACTAGCATATCTAATAGCTAATTGGTTTTATAGTACTTTAAACTTTTAGTTAAAAAAAAAAAAAAAAAGGTCTCAAACTTTTAAATTTTGTTTTTATTTAAATCCCAAATCTTTTTTTTTATTATTATTATTATTAGCAATTAAGTCAAGTCTTTCCCTTAACCATTCTTCAATTACACACAACAAGCGTATGAAAGTGAAATGATTAAAAAACCCAAACTCAAATTTAAAACCTAAAACCTATTTTTCTTTTGCAAATCAATTGTGACAAATCAACTTCATAAAACAAACTAAATTGATGTAGTACTTTTACAACATCAACACAAACATGTCAAGCGAATATAACAATGAATTAAAGAGTACATTCCACATCTTTCATATACACAGTCAAAGTTTAGATACAAACATGACTCATAACAAAAGTACAAATAAAAAAATGCAAACACAAAATCCAACAAAAATGTGAAATCCACCCTGATTTGTAGTTATTGACTATCTTCCTCATTTAGATCTTTAAACTCCCCACAACAGATGAGATATTGAAAAAGGCATTGTTATCCTTTTAGTCTTTTAGAAAAATTTGAATTCCAAACAAAAAAAGAAAAGAAAATTATTTTGTTTTTCTTGTGGATAATTAAACGTTGACAAACCATTATGCATATGCACACATCAAATGAACAAACCAATTGAAACTACAATTCTCATCCTTTTACTTCTCTAAATAACACGATCTCACAAATAAAAAAAATTCAACACCTCTAAAGTATCCAAAACAATTACTTCAAAAGGAAAAACTACCTGCCATAAAACCCTTTAAGGAAAAAAAAAAAGCAAAACAATATAAACATAACCCAATCTTCACAGATCAACCTTTATCATGCTTTCAAATTGCAATTAGTAGAGCATACAAATAAATCTCATCTTCACTAATCAACCTCTATAATGCTTTCAGATCGCAATTAGTAGTGCACATAAGTAAATCTAGTGCTTCATATTAGAAATTGTGTGAAACAATCCCCTCTCTCAAAAAATTTCTCACAGTTTAAGTCGCGGTTCTACTGCTCTATCTTTAAGAATGATTAGGGATTTCGTATTTTAATTTGACAATGAATGAGAGGCTTTTTTAGTTATTTAAATTTTTTTATTTTATTTGAATCAATTCATTAGTTTGAGAGTATATCTCTCAAGACATGCATCGCTCTTTTATTGAATCATGTGACTCTTATATGTGAAAAATATTACCAGAGATTGGTTAACAAAAAGATTGGACTTAATTGCTGACTAAAAAAATTTTGAAAACTAAATGAAAAAAAAAAAAAAAACAGAGATTGAAGACTTTTTTTTTGTTTGTCCAAAAGTTCAAAGCACTGTACAACCGATTAGCCTATTCAAATTAATTAGTGCAATTAGAGGGAATTGGTGTTAGTTTTCTTTCAGTAAGCTAGCGTAAAACATCGAATCAGCAGAGGCACAAAATCAAAGCATCAAAGATATTTAAAAAAAAAGGACATGGAATATTGAACTACACATATTTTTTCCAAGACAAACATCAAACCCAATTGGAGCTGGCAAAGAGTACTGGGTGCCCTATCATTTCACCACAAAAGGAAGCATAGAAAATAAACAAGAATCCATGAACCTCCCCACAACCGAAAACGACATCCCATCTTTTTCTTCAAATCTCTCTCTAACATGTACAAACAAGAATCACCTAATAGTGGTAGTCTAATATAACCCTAATTAACTTCTTTCTTCTAATCAATCCAATATTTTCCAACCTTTACAGGTACCTCATTAATATAATATCATATAGATTAGCAATGGTATATACATATTCTTCAAGCAACGCTGATGATGCTATCGCTACTCGAAATAGCCTGAAATGCTGATGAATGTGTCGATGCAGGAGTTGACTGCTCCTCCGAGGATGGAGTAGAGAGCTTGAGTGATAGAGCTGGCAATTGGTCTTTGGGACTTTTCTGGTTCAAGTTAAGATCAGCCAATTTTGATGATGGAGTAATTGGAATAACTGGTAGTGGACGAATGAGCTTGGGGGATTTTTTATCTAAGTTTGTCGGTCCTAATGTGAGCTTCTCCATTGGGTTGTCACCGCTGAGTGGTGATGATGTTACAGGATTAATTAAAGTTACTGGAAAAGTTGACATCGGAAGGCCTCCAGGCCTGTTGTTGTTCAACCGAGACTGTGGCTGTAGCTGTGGCAATACAAAAGTTGCAGTTTCTTGATGGACTTGATCTTCTTCCATTGATGAACCATCACTCATGAACTGGAAATCCAAATGATAAATTACTTGTAATACACTAAACTATGCATCACCAACAAAGCAAAGTCTTTTTATTCTCTCTCTTTTAATTTTTTTGGGACAAAAAGTCCATTCCCAATGATAAAATAAATAAATAATTTCTTGTACCAATTAAGTTAATAAACAAAGAACCAGCTATGAATTAGAAGACATGGATTCTAGCATGTAATTTAATTTAACTGGAGTTGAGATTATGCTTACCGTATCAGTGGTGATATCAAAGAGACTAGATCTTCGTCGTCGGCGATTCTGGTTATTTCTGCGGAGAAAGTACTTTTGAGCATGACTAGCAACCTGCGTAGGGGTGCGTGTCTTGACAAAGTTTCTTGAAATTCCTCTCCAATCTCCTTTCCCTACTTTCTGCAAACCCAACAAGAAAAGCTTGTGCTCTTCCTCTGTCCATGGAACCCCTAATATTAATCAACACACATCAAATCCAATCATCACAGATTCTAATCAAATTCCCAAAACCAATAATCATGTGCAAAAATACCTGATGGATCAATCCAAGATGAGATCTAGTAGAAACAATATATATATATATATATATATATATATATATATATATATATATATATATATATATATATATACGTACCTCTTTTGCGCTCGCGGCTTCTGCCAGAGGCGTGAACGACGTCGTCGGATTCATAACCGGCGGCGACATCGGCGTTGGGTTCCTCATGATGGTGTTCGTACTGGGAGAGATTGTTCATGCTTACACTTTTTCTAAAAGAAGCAGCTCCTTCGGTGACTCTTACTCCAAACAGCATAATACCAGTAGGAGTACTACAGTTGTGATCTCCACCACCTGGACTCTCCCCGCATGTACGCGAGTTGTGGCCGTTGTTTCCGCACTGCGAGCAACTGCGAGACATCATGTTTGATTTGTTCTTTCGAAGAGAGACAGAATTGTAGTGATAACGATAATACTCCTATTATCAGTTCATGCAAGAGCTAAAGCTAGCTCGGCTAAAGAGAGAAAGCAGTGAAATGAGAGAGGAAATAAAAAAAAATGGCCCGTAATGGAAAATTCGAGTGAAGGCAGCAGCAGGCTGATGGGGTTGTGGTTGTTTTGAGAGCAAGTTATTGTGGCATTTTTTGTATTTAAAAAATCTTGTACTACCAAAGCGTGGACTTTTTTTATTCACAAAAAGTAAGGTGATGCTTTAGTGCTTCGCTAGGGTTTGGTTGCTGAGTGTTGCGATAAATATCAACGGCTGGGTTTTTTCAGCTCAAAGAATCCTGATGAGTTTTATTTACATGTTTTTGACGCTTATCTGATCGGTAATTATAAGGGGCACGGGTCTCATAATGCAACGAAACAGATCAGTATATTCCTCTCCATAGATTTATTGATAACAATCAATACATCAATACATTAACTATATATCATGTCAATAAAATAATCGCATCAATATAAGCAGACATAATTTAATAATTATATATTCAATTAATTTTTTAATAAAAAATATTTTAATTTTAATGCTTCAAGTTTTTTAATAATTATGCAATGAAAACAAAAACTATTTTACTGTATAATTTAAAAGCTTATATACCTCCAATAAATAAATAAAAATCACCTTGATAAATTTATCAATAACAATCATTAAATCAACATACGTGTTAACTATAGTATTTATAAAACAATACATTATATGAATATATTTATTTATAACAATCAATAAATGATCAATATATTAATCATCATATCATATCCACAAACAATACATGATCAATACTATCACATCGGGATATGAGACAACTTATTAATTTTTTAGACGATCGACCACATGATCCTAACTGGCTACTAACATGAATTTATTGATCAGGTATCATGCATTAGCACTGTAGTCTTGCCATTATATGATATATTCCGAAAGAAACAAGGGCAAATACTTAGTAATATCCTACCTTTAAATTTTTCCGACCGTCCAATGGATTTAATTTTGCAAGTGGGTACGTATATTCTAACGTTTTCACCAATCTGGTTCAAGTCGTTGTTTTTTGGTCCGGATTTAAATCATGTGGAACTTTTGGTGGATGGTTCTCTCCAATAATTCTCGAACACGATATGATGCCTTAGTGATGATTTTATCAAAGATGGGTAATATACTTTTAATTTATGGTTTCTTGATGTTGATATGTATTAAAATTAGTGGGAAATGTCTGCACACTAATGGAAATGAATGTGAAGATTATTTTTATAATTTGGAAATGGTACTAAAAAAGGGATGGTGGAGGAGCAAAGCGTTTCTCCACCGTCAACCAGGCATATTCGCTGCCTCTTATAGATAGATTTCCTTGTCTCTTTTCGAGTCCTTCCTTATTTAATACGCCTATTGTGGTGGGTGACGCTGTGGAGGATAAGAGAACATGGACCCCACCTCATCATCTATGAACCCATTCCTCTCACTTCAGCGCCTTCCCATTGCCTTCTCTTTACCACAAACTTTCTTCGTGGCATCTGCTGCTGCTGGTGGTGGCGGATATGCCTTTTGCTTTCATCTTTATTTTTCTTTTTTCTATGGTTAGATGGGTTTTTTTTGGAAACAACTCTATTACTTCAAAAATTCTCGTCACTTGGCGCTATACTTGAATTAAATTATAAACGATATGTACTAATTAATCCTATTATAATTGGTATGATTTTCATTTTCATTTTTTAATATTATTTAAATTATATTAATTTTATTATGATTATCAAATGATTTATTTTAAATAAACAAAATATAAAATAAACTCTTTTTATTTTAAAGAGATCGTGTCTTTTGATTTTTACTTAGTTTTAAAAAAGTTATTCATTATTATGCTATATTAATATTTTTTATTTATACTTTTTTTAAATATATATATATATATATTTTTTTTGTTAAACTTGTTAGTGTTTAAAACTAATCTTGCAATACATAAAACTAATATTAATTTAAAGAGAAATATACCAAAAATTAGGATGGTAAGTTAAAGAAAGAGTCATTAAGTTAATTAACAATTTAAATTTAAAAGAATTATACAAAAATAACATATTAATAAAATATTTTACTTTTAAATTTGGCATGGAATAAAGTCTTTACAAAAATAAATATTTTTTATATAACAAAAAATAATTTAAATTTTATATTAAAGGTATTTGTATGTATAAGAAAAAAGTATAAACAATATTAATTTTTTATTAGTGAATAATATGAAATGAAAAAAAAATTGATTTTTTTATCAATTAAAGGTATTTTAAAAAATATATTATTTAAATTTTTGATAAAAAAATATTTTATAACATATATAAATAGAAAGAGAGAGAATTTTTTTAGATCCAAAAAGTAGATACATTTGGAACAGTAGAGTTTTGTTTTCCGGTTTTTCCATTTCCTACTTTAACAACCCTTAATTTATGAGTAAAACTGTATTTATCTGCAGAACAATTACACGCCAGTAATCTTAACCATTTAATTAATGAAGAGAAAGATTAGCTTATTGGGGCTGTTTTATGAAGTAGTAAACATTAGTACATTCGGAGCACGTGTTCTTTGCTTGCTTTTACTGCTTTCTAAACTTTATGACATTTGTATTGCTTTTTCTATTTTCTATGGATGCCAATCGTTGCACCTTTGTTTCGTCTGTCTTGTCACGTGCGCTCTGAATCCATGCGTACGTTGTAGGCCACCTCGATGCACATGAAATTCTGGCGGCTAGAATTCCGTTCCTGGTCCTTCTCCCACCGAAAAGTACCAAATGGGCAAGTAATAGTTCAATTAGCCTTACAGGAATCTTCCTAGTAGTTAAAAAGTTTGGTCCCCGTTTTTCTTTTTAAGTTTAAACCTTAGAATTAACTAGTCGTTGTCAGTGCTATGTTACGAACTTAATAGAATAAAATTATTTAAAAATTTTTTAATTAAATTTTTAATGTTTTTTATTTAAAACAATATAAATCATTCTTCTTTATGAATTGATTTTAAAATAAAAAATTATAATAATTTTAACTAAAATATTAAATAAGAATTAAAAAAAATTTAAACATATAATTTTCATAATATTGTATTTCAAAAAATAAAGTTATAATTAATTGACAAACTTTTACAAAAATTAACAAATGAAAAAAATTTCTTATTTAATGCTGATGAGAAGATTAATTTTTGAAATTATACACGCAACAATATAGATAAATAGAACAAAATCATTTCAAACTTTCATAATTTTTTTCATTAATTTTTTATTTCATTATAACTATTTTTTCTGTGTTTTTCATAAAATTTCTACTTAAAAAACATGATTTATTCTTCTTTATTCGTGGATTTTTAAATAAAAACTTGTAATAATATAAACTTGAAATATTAATTAAGAATTAAAAAAAGCTTTAAAATTATATTTTTTTATAAGAATGTATCAAAAAAATAAAGTTACGATTAATGTCTAGACTTGCATAAAAATTAACTAATGAAAAGATAAAATTTTATTCTTATTTAATTTTGGTGAGAAGATTTTTTTTTCAAGTATATGCATTTGATCTATATATTTTTATTTACAAAATAATCAATAAAATTAGCATAAAAAATATTTGAATAATTGGTTAATTTCTCTAAAAAATTATTTTAATTATTTTATTTCAAATAAATTGGTTCTATAATGTTAAAAAAAATATTCATAGTAAATAATTTGTATCCCGATGGGAGATGTATAATTAAATTTTAATATAAAAATAAGAAGAAAAATTAACTTGATGTGGATTTTTATAATAAATTGAAAAATCAATTTTAAACGATAAGAATAGTATTTATTTATTCTAAAATCTAAAAATATATCGTATATATTATATAATCGTCGATTTATGTGAAAAAAATAATTATGTTAAAAGATTTATAGTTAATTTTTAATATAAAAATAAGAATAAAAGTTAACTTGATGTGAATTTTTATAATCAATTGAAAAGATCAATTTTAAACAATAAGAATAGTATATATTTATTATAAAATCTAAAAATATATCGTATATATTATATAATCATCATTTTATGTGAAAAAAAATAACGATTGACTTTTTAAAATTTTAACACCCAATTAAATAAAAAAATAAAAATTGATGGAAAAAAATCAAAGAAAAAAACCCAAATAAAAAAAACATGTGTAGTGCATAAGCTAAGGGTTAAAATTTTTATTTTAAAATTATAGGGACCAAAATGAAATAATTTTAAAATTAAAAAAATTAGATGAATAATGATTTGTAAAGGGGTGAACAATGAAACTCACTTGTTCAAACCCCACATATTTTTTAGATATATAGTAATATTCACGAGTAATTTATTAAATTTATTTAAATACACTAAATTAATCTAAACGATGTATTTTTAAAATCATATAAAGAGAAATGTAATCTTGATGAATCAAATAAAAAATAATTATAATATTGTTACCAAAATGTTATGAAATCAATGATTTGGAATTCCTAACCAAATATATATACATATATATATGAAATTTTTTTAAGGCAATGGGACTTTTACGGAATTATCGTGACTCTCTTTTGGAACATGACATGGATGTCCAATCTTTGTGATGAGATGAGAGAGAGATTGGACCACATGGAGAAGGTTCGGTGCGAAAAACCTTACGGAAGGAGATCCGACCGTGGCTCGAGAGTTCGAGGGTCAAGGCGAGTAAAGAGGTATGCGACTATGACTATAGCGAAAGGATGTTGCTCTAGTGAGGGTGGCTTAACTAGAGTCCGTTCATAGTTGTCTTATGACATTTGGAGGGATTATTGCCTCTCCTTCTTTCCCGGTTAAGGATCCTTTTTTCTTCAAAAGCAATGCTTTAGGCATAAAAAATTTTTCACCGTAGTAACCTAGAGCCCATTGCCTTTTAAGTTATCGTCATATCATAGCGTTGAG